CCTAAGACATTTATCCAGGTACAATTAATAGCCAATTTAGCTTCCTTCAACTTCTCGTTCAAGTGGTTATCGAATTTTGCGTTATATTTCATATTTATTCCTAAATATTTATAATTATTAACCACTTCTAATTGATCATCGTTAAGGTACCATTTTTCATCATTTCTCAATCTTCTAGCATGTTTCCTAAATACCATCACTTTTGATTTGTCTGTATTTATAGATAGTCCCCATAAGTTGCAATATATATTTAATTCATCTATCATATTTTGTAACATTATTGGAGAATCTGCAAACAACACAATATCATCAGCATATAATAGTACTTTTAGGCACATATTGGCAATCGTAACACTACCAGAAAGAAATTTATTTAAGTCATCAACGAACAGTGCAAACAATATAGGGCTTAAGACACAACCTTGTCTCACTCCGGTACACGTTTGGAACCATCTTGATGTACTTCTTCCGTCCCATACTGTTGACTCATTGTTGCAGTATAGACTTTGCAGTATTTTCAAAATTTTTGTTGAAAGACCCAGCTGGCTTAGTTTGTAAAATAGTACGTTTCTTTGTATTGTATCGAAAGCAGCTTTAAGATCTACGTAAAAAACATATAACTTCTTGCTTTTTGCAATAAACTCTTGCGCTACACTAGTGATGACGAAAATATTATCTACCGTGGAGTAACCTTTTCGAAATCCAGCTTGAAATTCGCTTAATATGTTGTTTTGATCAACCCAATTTTTAATTCTGTTATACAGGAGTGTTGTAAAGACTTTAGCTGATGTATTAAGAAATGCTATTCCTCTATAATTTGCTACATTATTTGGGTCACCTTTTTTAAATAGGGGAAATGTTATGGCTTTTTTGTAACTATCAGGTGGGGCTGCATTTTCAAATATATAATTGTATGATTCAGCCATATGCTCTACAAATTGTGACGTGGCATATTTTAAAAACTCAGCTGGAATTCTGTTTTCACCTGCGGCTTTGTTATTTTTTAAATTCTGGAGCACTGCATAGACCTCTTCAATCTTTATTGGAGCATCTAACGCTTCATTTATTACATACGGCAGGGCATAACTGAAAGACTTGCTTACTATATTGCTATATAACTGGTTTTTAAAATGTGCCGCCAAAGCTTCGGCGTCCACTTTAATTCCTTTTATGTAATCTGCACGATTTATTTTTTTAACTCCACTCCAAAATGATTTACTATCAGCTGCTTGGGATATCGACATTGCCATTTCATTGAAATATGACTTCCTTTTCTCATCACACAGCTTTTTGTATTCTCTGTTTACATTTTTGTATTTCTCTAAATCAGCTATAGCACCACCTTTTTTAACTGTTTTGAGCCATTTAAATGATTTCTTTCTTGCAGTTTGACATTCAAAATCATACCATTTTTGTTTCCTATTTATACCCGCCGAATTACCCTGAAACGATTTTGCTGCTTGTTTTACACAATATTGAAGAATGTCATCTCCTTCCTTCGACGCAAATGTACTACCTTCGCATGCATTAAGGGATTCTTCAAGCTTTTCTTGGTACAGATCTTTATATTTATCTTTCCATATCAGTTTCGGTAGCAACTGCATTTTATTTTCATTTGAATTAGAGGCATCTAGATTTACCATAATTTCCAGTGGCTGATGATCCGAGTATATCATGTCACGTATTTGAAACTCTTCAATTATTA